CCTATAGTTTTTGACAAATGCATAGAGTCATGTATCCACCACCCTAACTCCATACCAAACTATTTCATCACTCTCAAATCAAATCTCCTCCATGCGTCTCCTTCTGTTTCATTCCTTGCACTCCCCCAACTTTCTGCAACCACTGATCTGATTTCTGTCCTTATAGTTTTGTTTGGCTTAGCTTTTGATAGCAACTTTTTTTTCTAAGACATGAAAATTGCTTGTAAGTGAAAGTTGTCTTGCTTTGTGATTGGAGTTTTTTGGTAGCAGGATTCAAGTCCAGCCTTGACACTTACATTGCCCTCTTTAAGCCTCAATTTTCTCATCCGTAAATGGCTATAATAATAGTCCCAGCCTTGTGGGGTTTATTGGGAGGACTAGCTGAGATAACAGCTGTTGGTACAGTACCTGGCATATAATAAGTAATCAATAAACTTGACAATAATATTTTATATTTGCTATCCTCTTCATCACCATGATCATCATTACCATGGTGGGGTATAAGAAAAAAGATTATTAAAAAAGAGGCCAGGAAGAGCTGCCCTCTTGGGCTGCTGGTGGCGAGGACGCATGCATGGGCCCTCACCGTGGGGCTGAGGGAGAGCATCGGATGTGCCTTTACAGAGGGTTTCCTTCCCCACAAGCCTCTCCTTTGGTGTCTGTGCTGTGAGTGTATTAGCAGAGCTGGTCCTGAAATTGGGTCTTCCTGAGGACACAGAATCATCTGGCTGTCATTCAAAAATTGTCAGCAGGGAGATTTCAGGGCTTCATTTTGGCTCTTCTACTTCCAGCATTTTTTTTTTTTAACTGAGAAGATGGTATTACACACAACACGGAAATAACTTTTTTTTTAAGATTTTTTTTTTATTGGGGAATTGGGGGATGGGAACAGTGCTAGGGAATTGGGGGAAGGGGAACAGACAAGTTGCTGTCCTTTTTGTTCTTCAGTCTAGTTGTGGAGGACGTTGCTTCACTGGCCCAAGTTGGCATCATCATTGCGCTCTTCCCGGGCGAAGCACATCAGTCGCCGGCTTCTGGATGGCCGCTCACGGCAGCTGCTGGCCACTCACACTGGCTGCTGGCTACACACGGTAGCCCATGGCAACCCACTGCAGCAGGGGCTGCAGTCCACGCCATCGCGGGCGACTCACAGCAGCCCAGGTCCAGGTTGAGCTGTTGTTCAGCATCTTAGCTGTAGAGGGCGGTGTCACTGGCCCTCATATGTGGGATCCGAACCGAGCCCTCTGGCGTCTCAAGGCACCTCTTAACCAACGCACCTCTCAGCTGGCCCAACACGTAAAGAACTTTTAAAGAAGTAAGTCGGTGGGAGGAGAGGTGGTAGAAGAGGGCAAAGGGGATCAAATATATGATGATGGAAGGAGAATTAACTTTGGGTGGTGAACACACAATGCAATATATAGATGATGTATTCTAGAATTGTACACTTGAAAACTATATAATTTCAGTAACCAATGTCAACCCAATACACTTAATAAAATAAAAGAAGTGAATCACCGGAATCCCAACACCCAAGAGAATGGATGTTTGCTAGTTGCTGCCACCCCACCCTGAATTTTTACACAGATGTAGACATTTTATTTATTGTATCATAAACACTATTCTTTGTTACTACATAGTCTTCATAATGATATTTCATGAAGATATAGTTTCATCAAGGGGACTCACCATCCTTCTCTAAACTACTTCCACTGTTCCACTGTTTTGAGGCGCAACTTCCATTTTTTGCTTCTGCTGATTTATTTCTTTGGGGTATATTCCCTAGAGTAGGAATTTTTTGTCAAAGGATAGGAATGTCTTTGTGTCTTTATCTGTAACATTTTATAGAAATAAATCATTACATCCTTTTTTGTGTGTTAATCCGTATTTTATCAAAATGTAACCATGCAATGATGTGTTCAAACATCTGGTGAAGTGTTCCAGACTAGCACTCCAACAGCTCATTAATAAATTTAGCATCTGACCATGTAATGCTTTTTTGAAAACCATGATTTTCCCTGATTAATTTTCCCTCTGCTCTCGCCACCCCTCCCCCAAAACTTGAAGTCCTCTACCTCTGTACTTCTAAAGGGAAAAGTCCCGTCTGGAAGTCTCAGACTCTTCTCAGAAACTCATCCTTTGTTTACTTTTGGAGTCAGGACTTGTTTGCATATGTAAAACCAGGATCATATTGTTTGCAGATGCGAGGGGTGCTGCCAGATAATTGAATGTAAAAAGTTGAGGCTTTTAAATCAATTCTAACAAACCTGGACACAAAAGAATATTTTAGAATTAAAAAAAAGAAGCATGGAAATAAAGATTGTGGGATTGGGTTTCTAATTCAAACATTTCCTTCTGTGTTCATAGTAGGGACGTTTCAAATCCACATAAAGTTAGGGGCCTGGCGGTGGGGGGAGGGTAGAGGACTAGGAGATAAAACGCTGCAGATTCACCATCTAATCCAGAAATACAAATGCACAAAAGGAGTTACATAGATGACAAAACAAAACTCAATCCCAGTAATATCTGATCCCCTCTGCTAGCATTAACAATAAGGTTTTTTACCCGCTCATCAATAGTTTCCTGTTTAGCCTTTTATTTTAAAATAAGAGTAGTAGCTTAAAAGTAATTGTGTTTCCTATCAGTATTTGATAAAGCTCCCTTCCCTTTAGGGGAGTGGCCCAGATGTGATAGCAGCTATTAAAAGCTACTTGTTTTTTTAAGCATTAAATGCTTTTGTTAAAAAAAAAAAAGGAAATTAGCGTGACTTCTAGTCTGTCTAGCAATGATAAAAACAGATGAGAGCTTCTCGAACAAATTGGCTTAAACTAGAAGGCTGGGTTCTTTATCCCGGTAAACTCCGAAATCTGTAAATTGAATTCTGCTGAGGGCCAGCTCTTGCCCGCATGCGCAGCAGCTTCCACAGCGTTGGGTGTAATGAGGCCCCGCATGGCTGTGGTACTCCAGGTCCCAGCGCACCAGGCCGGTGGCTGAAAGTGGTGTCTGCGCCGCCCGGGTGGAACTAACCTCACCCACCTGGTGGAAGCTATGGAGCAGCTGCGGAGGGTTGGGGTGGGGGGCTTCTGGAGGCTGGCCAGTGTTGCTCGCAGGGTTGCCCTGGGCCAGGTGGGTGGCTCCAGGGCAGAACTGGAGTGCGTGGCAGGTGGGGGTTCGAAAAGGCTGAGAGCCTGGCGTCTGCAAGCCTGGCCAGGTTCCGATTTATGGGGCAAACCAAGGCCTTGCTGGCCAGAGAAGTGCTGTGAGGATGGAGAAATTGGCGCGCTCTGAACACTCTACACCCTCCGCCTGTCGCGGTACCGCCTTCACACCCCACCACCCTGGTATATCCCGCTTGTTCCCTCAAAACGGGGCCTTAACTCCATCTGTTATCCATATCAATCTCTTGTCCGTCTGGAAAATGAGGGTGACTGGCAGACGGGGATGGAGGCTTTGCAGGCGCCTGGAGCTAACTTGCTTACGGTTTTTTTCTCAGGCTCCTCCTGGTCCTGGGCAATTCCAGAAAGAGACAAGATGAGGCTTGGCTGGAGCCCCGTCTTCTGTGAAAATTTCAGGCGTGGCAGTCAAGTGTTCAAGACTGGGGTGCCCTTCTCACCTCTAAAGCAGTGCTTTAAAAATTACATTTTTATATTTGAAACTGAAATACCCCTTCTGCCAGTTGTAGTGCATTCTTCACTCAAATTAACACATTGGGAATTTACTTTGTTTTGCTTTGGGGGACGTTCCCCCCCACCCCCCACCCCCCAGC